ATACAGAACTCGCACCTGTAATGCAATACAGAACTCGCACCTGTAATGCAATACAGAACTCGCACCTGTAATGGCGGCACGGATGTGTTACTGTATGATATATTACATTATATTATTTAGCTGGACGTTGGCTAATATTTAACACAATCTAGTTTATAATTATAACGCATATAGTTAGTTATTCATATCGTTTATCGTATGTATTAGCCTGGTGAAGTTAAGTACACCCACTCACTGGTGTCGTCCAGCAATAGCCAATAACAGCGCATCTTTACAATCTACTTAGGATCAATTATTAATCTACTTTAGATTAATTACTTTAGGATCTAGTCTGTTCGTTAGCTGTAGGCAGTTAAAGCAGACGGTTCGTAGATGTCATAGCAAATGGAACAATAAATCTTGTATTTCACTCATTAACTCCGTCTTCTACGCACTCAATTATCATGTTACAATAACCAAATATATATTTCAGGTAGGCCTATATTTGTGGACCCCCGACCTTTGCACATGTGCATCCAATCTTCGTTGTATCCATCCAGCTCCGTTCGGTCGGTGCAAACCTGCGACGACGAGAGAAACGACCGGAAGTAGCCGATGTCGTCGTCGTTCAACGTTGCGAAGTTGCCGCGCCGCAGCTGTGGATAGCGCTTGCTAGTCAGCTCCACCTGTATCGTCGCTCTGAGACGGCGTAGGAGATTAATTAAATTTTAATTACAACGATTTTCCGATGACGCAATGTTTATCCGATTATTTCCTGATATTCGCATTATATGTCACTCGATGATTGATAGGGTTAGGAAAAATAAGCGATTCATTTTGGCTATAAATTACAGCTTCTGCATTACGATTATAAAATATTAAATGAGACACGATTTCATTGATTATAAAATTGAGGAAGAAGCTTGTAAGTCGGCGTATATCGGTTATTTATAGCTTTCACGTCTAAGCATTCTATCATTTAATGCATGGATATCTATTACATATATATAATGTAGTTTACATGCTATCATATCGCCATATCATTGGATCATCGCAGGCTTGCAGCGGAGCGAAGAGCTATAGTACTACTACTACTAGAGCTACCATGTCATAATCATATGCCAATCGCTGCTTGCATCGTCAATTAGGACGAGAGCAGCATCACTTGATCGCATGTACCTGGATGATGAGATGGAAATGTAGCGCTGGCCTGCATTCCTGAGCAACGGACAGCAGCTACGAGTGATTCGCCGAAAATGGGGGCTCATACTAATATTAACCATTTTAATTGGAGACATGCAAGAGTGACACTGACAGTGCCAGTGCAGTGCCAGTCAGTGGTGTATGTCGTCGATTTCAGTTCAGTTGGATCACAAAATCAAATTGAATTATTCACTCTTACACCATACAACACACGCCGCACGTGTTTGTTACTTATTTCTGAATGGCTCTATCACGTCTCGCCCCTATTTCACGAACAAATAGTCACTTTCTAGCTCCATCCCAGGCAAGTGTGGTTCACTGAGCAGTTCTGTGAGGTTGCTAATTGTAACTGAAATCGTCTGGCTGTGTTATTACATAGACGGGTACCCGTCCCTTCTCCCAAGCTTGATATAGCGATATATCGAGTTTGCAAGAAGGGACGGGTACCAGTCTATGTTCTTTACTGTCGCTGTGCATTTTATGCACTGCTCACTCTCTGAACTCCGATATCGTGCACGCCCCTACACTCTGCTCCCAACAAAAACTGTACCCGACTCCTTGTCGCTGAGGCAGACCACCCGCTCCGCAATAGCATTTTATGCATTGATTGAATTGAATTGTACTTCTTGTACACGCCCTCTCCGGTATGTCTAAGACAATACATAGTTAGCATAATAAATATAGAATGATGGTTTGGCCAAATATGTTGAACTAACAATCAAAATAAATGTTCTGCAAGATTTAACAAATTAACTATAGCCCCGGTTTTACCATGACACATAATATTTTGCTGAGAGGGTCTATATAGCACCCGGGGTGACTGCCGGAAACCGGTCGACTATACCGAAACGCTACCTTTTGCTCACATCGATATGCCTGACCATACCTCGCCTACACCCTAACCCTAACCCTAACCCCAACCCCAACCCCAACCCCAACCCTAACCCTAACCCTAACCCTAAACCCTAACCCTAAACCCTCATCCTACCTAACCTAACCCTAACCCTAACCCTAACCCCGTCATCCGTACCCTACCCTAAACCATATCACTATAGTGGACCATGGTACGTTCGGGCTATACCGGACCGTACCCAGGGTACGTTCCGGCCGTACCCTGGTGGACATAGACCTTATGAGCAATACTTCGCGTACATACTAAGTTGCATTTAGTGCGCATGTTCGGGTTTCAAGTGAGCATCCATAAAAATGCCGTATAGATGATACCATTGCTACACAAAAATCTGGTCAAAAAGAAAAATGGCCAATTTGTTGTTGTTGTTTGCGGAATTAACCGTATGGAAATGCACTTAGGTAGTACCACGTGGACATCTCTGCGTATTTGCTTTATATTTACAAATATATTAAAGGGGCCGAAATCCATGCACAGTGGTCGGACTCTGGACTCGGAGTATCGCCTTCCATTGTAGGAGAATTATTTTGTGATTGGAGTGGGTGCCATTACTTGGTTTGTCTCTATAGACGGGCACCGCTCTTCTCGTCTAATGCGCCTGGTATCAGGCTTGACATTATCATTTCGGTCATGCTTCCCGTCTTGTATCATGGACTTTGCATACATACTGCACAGTGCTGCGTGATAACAACATACGCCACACTTGCTAAAGTGTAAGAATCAGAATGGACAGCGTGTAAACACTGGAGTACTCGTCTCGAATGAAGAGAAAGGAATATCGTGCAAGAAACCGACAAGATAGCACCAAAGATGCAAGGCGCCGTTGAAAGTAATAGATCTCGATCATAGCCGAGGTTGCACTATTCTGTCTCCAAAATACTGTGTGGTGGGATTACGTTTTTCGTTATATTCTGTCGCAAAACGTACAGGTGTCTAACCAGCACAGACCAACAATCTACTGCAGCCCTCCAACCCAGGATCAATAGAGCTCCGAACTTTTTCCGTTTCACCCCTATCAAAATGAACGGACAGTCTTAGGCAGTGCTGGAACTCAAAAAACGCATTGGCACCTATCCCTCGGTATGACGTCAGGAGACCAAAGCTATTCGACGGCATTTTGTACGCTAGTTCCAGATAAACTAAAAGTTTGAATTGATCCAGAGGATGAAAGGAACAAGACCACATGCGAAGGTCAGAGGAATGCTGTTGCTCCCGCGTCTAGTGGAGCCAAATGCGGCGCGGACTCGTCGTACAAACAACACGATAAATTCACAGGGCACCGCTGATCAGAAGTTACACTACGTGCCGTACGGGCAGTTCCTCCTGCTATTACCCGTTCAGCTACCCTGGCCTACAGGCATAACGAATCTAGTTCGGTAAGGAGTGGGGTATTATCGGCGACACTGCTACAGAGAGAGTTCCGTCCCTACCACCCTGATGACGTCATGGAGCGTTGCAATGGCACTATAATATCTAGAGACGAAAACTCGACCCTTCCTTCAGGTTCTCACAATTCCAATTCAGCTATTAGCTTATATTTTTTTTCACACTGTTTGTTGCTTTGCACCCCCCTCCTCACTCTTTTGATTCTTCATCATCTCCCGCTATCTCGTTGCATCGCTCTTCTTTTTTGTTCTCTCTACTCTCTCTCTCTCTCTCTCTCTCTCTCTCTCTCTCTCTCTTCCTCTCTACTTCTCTCCTCATCTCATCTCTCTCCTCTCTCTCTCTCTCTCTCCTCTCTCTCTCTTCTCATCTCTCTCTCTCTCTTCTCTCTCTCTCTCGTCTCTCTCTCTCTCTCTCTCTTCTCTCTCTGCTCTCTCTCTCCTCTCTCTCTCTCTCTCTCTCTCTCTCTCTTCTCTCTCTCTCTCTCTCTCTCTCCTCCGTCGCTCGCTCGCTCGCTGCCGCTCGCATCGCTCGCTCGGCCTCTCTCTCTTCTCGCTCCATCGCC